ACATTTACCTGGTTTATTGTTAGGGTTCCTATATGTGTAGGATGTATATTTAATAGTTTATGTTTTATGATCTGTAACTCTAGTGCCTGGGGGATAATTGGGTTAAGCAAATGTCTCTTTTGGATATGGTATTGAAACACAAGGGTTTCCTTTTCTTCTTGAAAGCTAATGATCATTACCATATCAAAGGACATCCTATCTGAGAGGCAAGCAAGAAATGTGACAAATGAGCGAGTCGATATGTGCTGCAGCCAGACTTCCAGGCCACTTGTGCGTGACTTCTCATACCTGGCAGAGGGGGAGTCCTGTTGTACCCTTCATCAAGTCTCAGCTGATGTTTGGGTAACCAAGGGCTCTGATCACTGTTTCACTTGGGAGTTGGGAGACTTATAACAGATATGCTCAGCCGGAGTATAGGGGATTCGTTACATTGGTGGCAAGCGGCGGGATTTTTCTCCCAAGATCCTCTGTGCCAGAGGGATGATTGCGTGAGCAAGCCTCTTTAATTTAATTATCCCTCAGCTACCCTTGGTTACCCAAACATCAGCCAAGATTTGATGAAGGGTACAACAGGAATGTCTTTATTCTATCCACAAATGGCCTTCTTATGCAAAAGTCCCCTGCAAGGGGTTTCCAACACAAACATACAGGATCCTTTCTCCCAAGATCCTCTGTGCCTGAGGTATAATTGCACGAGGAAGCCTCTTTAATTTTATTATCCCTCAGGTACAGAAAAATCTACAATAGTTGCCAACACCCCACAAACACATTTCAATATTTCAAAAGGGGTTAATTGATTTCATGGAAGGTCAGCGCTTACAATCCAGTTCCTCTTTGAAGCTGGACCCTCAACAGAGCCCCCCTGCCAGGTGTGAGAAGTCACACACAAGTGGCCTGGAAGTCTGGCTGCAGCACATATCAACTCTCTCATTTGTCACATGTCTTGCTTGCCTCTCAGATAGGATGTCCTTTGATATGGTAATGATCATTAGCTTTCAAGAAGAAAAGGAAACCCTTGTGTTTCAATACCATATCCAAAAGAGACATTTGCTTAACCCAATTATCCCCCAGGCACTAGAGTTACAGATCATAAAACATAAACTATTAAATATACATCCTACACATATAGGAACCCTAACAATAAACCAGGGAAATGTCTTGTGAATAGAAAGCAAAGTATTCATTTGGGCACAAAGTATATGGCCCATAGTCGGTGGGCAGGAGGCTAGCTTCCACACTCCTCCAGGAGTTCGTGGCGTACGTCCCGGGTAAAGGGCGTTCGTCACACTTTCCCACCAAAAAGAGAGAGTAGCTGCACTACAACAGGCAGGTAAGAGGTTATTAAGTATCAAGCCAATAAAATGATTCATTTTAAGGTAACTTATCGAATTGATAATTTCTGTCCCTTTGTGTTACCTCATATTGTATATATGTATGGTATCTAGGTGTAACACACAAGAAGAGAGAAACGTTGAGTTGTAAATGTCCATTTCCATAGTATCCTATGTTAAAGAATAGCTTCAGCAAATTAATTGAAAAATATAACATACCTTCTACATAGGATTATATGATTGTGAAGAAGCTTGGTGAGTGTGAAACACATGCCAGTGGTAACTTGGCATCAGAAGTATCCTGCAGCACCCAAAGTCCCAGCATGGTGCCTCCACCTCACTCATTGATCCATGAAAGAAACAATGAGAAGATCGTGACCAACAAAAACCAGCTAACTGGAGAGGTGAGTCTGCTGGTGTTGGACATTTCACAGTAAAAACAATGGCTGTGTGGATAATGACTGCATTGTTGTATATTTCAGGTTCCTATAAGGTGTCAGGATATTGCTGTCTTTTTCTCCGTGGAGGAGTGGAAATATTTAGAACGACACCGAGATCTTTATAATGATGTGATAAAAGTTATATTTTAAAGGACACTCAACTCTCTTTTTCGAGATTTACCTATTGTCTTATTTTATTTTTATTTTTTTTAAACAAACACCTAGCCAAGCTGTTTTTGAACACATTGAATCAAATTAGAGATAAGCCCTAATTTTGACATCTGATGTAGTAATCTGTTTCTGTAACACCACACGGCTAACTTCCTAAATTAAATTATATGTAACTCAATTTTATTACAACTAAAACCTTAACCTACCTGACAGGTTTTCTTTAATAACGGAATTAACTAAACAAAACAAATCTTATTCTAACTTTTATTTTTAATTAGAAAAGTATCAAAATACAATGTATAATATATATACTTTACATTTTATTACATACAATAACAACAACAAACAGACAACTTGCGTAGGGCTTAATAACATGGCATATGGGTCTTCTCTTTGTCCCTATCTTGTCTCGTCCAGAGTTAATCTCTGTTCGCTTCTATTGCGTTTCTATCTATCCGGTCTAACCAATATTTATATATTTTTAGTATTCTGTCTTGCCTTTACACTGAGCCAATTATATCCATTTTCTATCTTCATCTGTAATTTAATTTGATTTATTAGTTCTTGTATATTAGGGTTTATTGTCTGTTTCAATTTTCTTGCTATTAATATCTTTTTATAGCGGTCAAGACGTGAATTATTAAGACCAGATGTTTCTCGGATAAGTTTTTGTCTATGATGTGTAGCAGTGTTGTTTCTGGAGAAATATTCACCGGTGTTTCTCCTATGTCTGTCATAAATTTAAATGAAATGTTCCAAAACTCTCTAATAACTGGGCATTCCCACCAGATATGTAAATATGACCCTCTATACTTATTACATCGCCAACATAAATCATTCAATTGTGGATATATTACTTTTAATTTTGTAGGTACGAGGTACCAACGGTTCATTACTTTAAATCGATTCTCCTGTAAAGTTATACAATGAATATATCTATTAGTGATGTTCGTAACATGATACCGCATTTCTAAAGATATATCTATATTTAAATCATCTCCCCACGCTTTAAATGCTGGGATTCTGGTTCCTTTTTGTGTTATTATATTATTACAAATAGATTTCTTATTCTAACTTTTAATGTCACCAAGTACTAGTAATCCTGCTATTCACTCTAAACTATACTTTTTCCTAGACTAGGATTTGAGGCTCTGTAATCACAGTTTCTTACCTGTCTGTAGCATGCATTCTTTGTGACTCCCATACTGCCTGGGAGACAACATATATAGCCTGATGTGTGAGCCCTGCAGTAATAGCCCAGTATATGCTGATCCTAGGGTATAATGGTTATAGTTGATCCCTGTGGCCTGTCACTATGATAGGATAATAGTCAGTGTCATTCAGAGTAATGCCAGCCCGTCTCATGCCTGAGACATCCAGTAATACCTCAATACAACCACGAACATCATGTATTAGGAATGCCACATGTCTGCAGGAATGCTTTAAGGCAAAGGGTATCTGACAGTTGTGACATGATACATAGAATAACCATCAGTAGGCTATTGCTGGGTTACCTCCCTAATGAGGATTCCAACAATAGCCATCTTTCGCCACGATTGTCGAGACCCTCATATTTCAGTAACTCTGAGGTCCGACATCCAAGATATGTGAGCTGTCATAAGGGCCAGGCCTGGACTGGCCGTCGGCAAATAATCGGTGGGCTATGTGGTGGACTATGTTGGCCATGGGCCAATGCTGGCAGGGGAGATCAAAGGATCTCCCCTGCTGGCCCGTGCAGGGCAGCACTCTAAGAGGAAGCTCTGTCCCTTGATGGATTAGGTTTACCGGGGATAGTGAGCAGGAAGCCTCCTGGCAGCCTCTCCTTCTCGTGAGCTCTAATATTATCAGAGCGTTGGCATGGTAACCCACTGAAACACCAGCGCTTGCTGGAGGGAGAGACACTCTGGATGTCCAGACCACATAGCTAGCCCACTGGACCATCAGGGATCAGTGTGATGCCTCTCCCCCAGCAAAGTAATTAGAGGGAGGGGGTAGTAAATGTTTTTTTATTTATGCCCCTATCCTACCCCCTATGTAACACTGCACTAACACACAAACACTCTGTACCCCCTATATTCACACTACACATTCTAAGCCCCCTATATACACAGTACATCCTATACTTACACAAACACACTACACACAATCAACACCCCTTGCACTTACACACAAATGCACTATACACACTCTGTACCCTCTATATGCACACTATCACTCCTGCACTCATACACAAACATACTACACACACACTCTATACTGTCTATTAAAACACACTTCACCACCTTCACACAAACACACCCTATACTCCCTATAAACACACACTTCTCCACTATAAATACAGACTGTACCCCTATACACACACTACACCTATACACACTCTTCTAACCCCATTGTGCCCACTTTACACCTATACACATGTGCACTAAATCTCCTATCCACACACATTACCGCACCTAAACACACATCTGCACTATATCCTATATATACATATACACAATGCAACCCCTGCAGCCCATCGATATACACACAGTACAACCCTTACATGCACACACAACACCCCATAGGCCCACACATTCTGCCAGCCCTACAAATACATGCACACACAAACTTTACAGCTCAGAAACACCCACTACTGTTCATAGCCATACATAGTATGCCACAAACAGACCACTTTACACACTACAACACAAACAGTCTCCTCTACACACATGCAATCCCTAAAACAGCCTCCAAACACATACAACACCACAGGGAACATGCCCACACATGCACTACACACTTTAACAAAACAGCCATGTCCCATTTTTGTTCTCTGGTATCCCACTATTGGGTACACCAGAGACAACTCACTAGCAAACACAGTGCATGCTTGCATTGTTCAGAAAAAAAAGACAAGATATTTTTTTCATCCGAGAGCACTAGATGCTGTGGTGGGGCATCATACTAACATTTGACAAAGAGAGGTGCTTGTAATTGGTGGTCATAACACGCCCCTTTTCTGGCCCCCTCCTTCCTAGTGGGCTGCTCGGCCTTTAGCTGTCTTGTCCCAGTCCGGCTCTGATAAGGGCACTTTACTTATCACTAAGATGTAAAATGTTGGTCAATTCACATGTTTGTTTTCTATTTATTCTAGTTGTTGGCAACAAATATTTTTTATAGCAATACATCTCTTTTCAACAGATGGTGCTATGGGCAAAAATTCCCCTGAAGATATTGACACCCCAGTTTCTTCACCGGGTTCTGCAAAAGAAGCAAAATATGATGTTAAAACTGAAGAAAGAACACACTGTAAAAGAATAAACAAACTCCAGAAACTCCAGGAGTCATTAGTGAGAAGTGAGGTAGAGGAATTGGCCTCATACGAAGATGAAAATGTAATTGCTTCAAACTTATATACATCCAGAGAACAAACAGAAGCAAAATCTGTTCCTATCAAAGAAAAATCATCTTCATTAGATGAATGGGACATGGCAGGTACTGACGTTTACACCTGTACAGAACAGAGAGAATATCCAAGTACTCAGGTTCAAGGGGAATCAGCCCCATGTGAAGAAAATCCTCTTACATCTGCAATTAATACAACAACAGATCAGAAGCCACCAGAATGTACCTTCACTCATTCTAAAGAGAAATTAACCTTTTATGATTTTGTAAACGTTACAGATACTCACAAGTACCCAACTACAGAACATACACAGTCAAAATATACATCGACTCACATTCTTAATGAGTCCTCCTCTGGTGAAGAGGGAAATCTTACAAACAATGAAATATACCCAGAAGCACAGCAATCAAAGAGCGAATATCCTGGTATTCACATTAATAATAAATCTGTGTCATACCAGGGAAAGAATCTCAAAGACGTTTATACAACCAAAAACGATAAAACACAAACAGACTATACATTTAGTTCTATTAAAGAGGATATTTGTACACCTACAGAACATAAAGAGACTGAATGTAGAACTATTTCTCTTAAAGAAGACTCTGCAGCATGTGAAGAAGGAACCAACACAATCACTAATATTTATACACCTACAGAACAAATACTCACACAGTATACATCTGCTCTTATTAAGGAGGAATCTGATTCATGGGAAGGAGGCAGGTTTGTAGACAATGGTTTTTATGGACTCACCGAGCATAAACAATTAGAATGTACATCAAGTTCTATTAAGGAGGAACTGGCCTCATGGGAAGAAGGACATCTCACAGAAGATGACATTTACACACACACAGAATGCATGGCAAGGAACAGCAGTGCACATATCTCTAACCATAGCTTTCCAGCAATAAAGTGTGAGGATATTTTTGATGATCAACATGTTTTGAGATCTCACCAAGGACCATACGCTGCAGAAAAGATATACAACTGCTCTCAGTGTCCGAAATGGTTTACTAGTTATTCAGATCTGGTCAAACATCAGTCGGCAGTTCATAAAGGAAAGAGTCTGTCCTGCTCACAATGTGGCAAACAATTTCTGTGTAAATCAAATCTTGACAGACATTTCATGATTCATACAGGAAACAAACCATTCACATGTTCAGAGTGCGGGAAATGTTTTACTGACAAGTGGAAGCTTCTTAGACATCAGTGGGTCCATACGGGAAATAAACCCTATTCATGTTCAGATTGTGGGAAATGTTTTACAGATAAGTCAAGTCTTGCAGCTCACCACAGGATTCACACAGGAGAGAAACCATTTGCATGTTCTGATTGTGGGAAATCTTTTTCCAGTAAGTCACATCTTGTCACACATTGGAGGATTCACACAAATGAAAAACCGTACTCGTGTCTTGTATGCGGGAAATACTTTACTCAAAAATCTAATCTTTTTACACATCAAAAGATTCACACAAATGAAAAACCGTACTCATGTTCTGTATGTGGGAAATATTTCACTCAAAAAACAAATCTTTTCTCACATCAAAGGATTCACACTCGGGAGAAGCCATTCCCGTGCCCTCTATGTGGGAAATGTTTTGCCAGAAAATCAACTCAAATTAAACATCAGAGAACCCACCGAAAAGACAAACTTGTCTAATGCTCATGGAAATAACATGTTTAATGTGTCATAAATTATTAGTCACCAGGTCATTATATTCAGAGAACCACTGCTGTGTGTTAAGGTACACCAGGACTTCATTTCTGGTACAGAAGATGTTTGTGGAAAATAAACTACGTGTTTTTTTTTTTTTTTGTCTATTTATCTAATTATACACACTTTTATGACTAAAAACCAAAGTATTGTTTGACTAATAAAATGTTTAGATTGGAACATGTTTGTTTGATCCAATTAATGAAGTGTGTTTGTTTTTATATATATATATCTTCCAAATAGGTAGCTGCACTCACGGATTTTAAAAGTCCAAAATTTATTGATAAATGTTTAAAAAAGCCGATCAATGTTTCAGTCCTCCATAGAGGGCTTTCATCAGGATACTGATCCTGATTTGATCCTGATGAAAGTCCTCTATGGAGGACTGAAACATTGATCGTCTTTTTTAAACATTCATCAATAAATTTTGGACTTTTAAAATCCATGAGTGCAATTGCTTTGGATAGTAAACTGAGGAACATACACTAACTGATGGCAAACTGACATGTTACATTGGAGATGTGTTTTATCCGGCCATATAGAAACTCATAAGTATGCAGTCCGTTATCCGTATAAAGGAAAAGAGAAAAACAGAGGAAGAAAATGGAAAAAAGAAATGTGGAAGAATCAATAATTACAAAAAGGCAGTATTATATAATTATTCACCTATTCATCCCTTTATGGAGTAGAACAGAATTTGAATATATTAAATATATAATTAAATCAATCTATATGTATACACATGAAAAAGTATTGTTTATACTGAGAAAAAGACAGCAAATGTCTATTTGATCACCACATAATAACATATATATTAGTAAAATAAAAAATATAATTTTCATCTGAATGTTGGAGAAAAAATACTAAAAATTGAAATATAGTAATTATGGAAGGTAATTAAAAAGCTAAAACAGTTCCTCAATAAATTATATTGAAAAATTGTACTGAAATAAAAATGGTACTGAAATTAAAAAAGGTGATTGGGAGGTGTGAACATTCTATACTAACATTCTAAATGAGGTATTGTGGTGGTCCCTGATTGGGAGCTCCCACCAAGGGGTTTAATTCACCTCCCGAACAGTGCCCACCACAATACCTCATTTAGAATTTTAGTATAGAATGTTCACACCTCGCAACATAAGTGTCAAAACCGCAAAGGAAACAATTAATGAGTGCTTCCCTGGCTGCCCTTTGTACAGGCAAACGCCACCAGGGGGAGCATTTGTGGATTGTTTGCTGACTCATTTGTATCCTGAACGAGTGCCTCCCCAATGCCCTATTAGAACGTTCACACCAATATTTTCAGAACGCTCTCACTCGTAACATAGGTGTGAAACCACAAAGGAAGTAATTAATGAGTGCTCCCCTGGGTGGCCGCCACTCGTACAGACGAATGCCATCCAGGGGGAGCATTAGTACCCCGAAAGGAGACTCTTCCCTTGTCTGGGTTTCACACCAGGACCTCGCGAACGGAGACTAGTCGATCAAGGGACCGAGGCGAGGATCCCTGAGATTGGTGTGGGATCTTCTGGGGCACTGGCAAGTTTTGGCGTGCTCTCGTGAGCCGGAGGGACAAAGAGACCAGCTCTTTTTCCGCAGGCGGGCTTTTCTGTGCCAGGCAAAGAGGCACTTGGGAAGAATTGGATAATACAGCCGTGGTTTGCTAGCACCCAGTTATAAAGGGACACTAAAGCGTGAGTGCAAGAGCATTATTTTATTTTTTTATATATATACACAGGTAGGGATAAGCGCTAGAAGAACAACTGACAAAATATAGGCAGCAAACTCTGGATGTAGGGGAGACCCTCAAACCTTAAAAAATAATAACATAAAATACACAAAAACAGGTTGCGCCAATGGATAGATATAAACGTATATGAGTAAAGAAATATATATAGAATAAATAATAAATGTATAAAGTCCAATATTTACAATCCAATGATCACAATCCCAGCTGCTTTTAAATTCTTCATAGGTATCCGTTCCTGATTAAGGTGCTTGTCAACATATGTAAAAATATACAAAATGAAAGATAATAGTGCAGAGTGTTTAAGCAGGAAGATAAAACTCTCAATAATGACAGTGCTCTGTGTGTATAAGGTGCTTAATGAAAATAAAACCAATGTATATGTGTAGCAGCTCAACACTCGTGTAGATACTCCAAAAATAAATAAATGATTTTTTAAAATTTATTATTGCAATTTATAAAGCGCACACAGATTCCGCAGCGCTGTACAATTAGTTGAGAAACGTACAATATACACAAACAAATACAAGAGGTAAGAGAGCCCTGCCCGTAAGCTGATATCTAGCCATTGGAGCTCTTTTATACAAAGTGCTTAGCTAGATGGCCCTTGAGCTTACAATCTAAAGGATACCAGGGGGGATTTGAGACAAAAGGTAGCAGGGGAAGTTTGGAGGTGATGGCTGAAAGAGTTAACAGAGAAGCAGCTATTGGTAAGATGTTAGGGGAATGAACAGGTAATTGGGTGAGAATCTCGAACAGCTGGAGGAGCATGCTATATATTTAAGGGGAGCCTGGGTGGGAAGTGGGGAGAAAAAATGCAGTCTTCACTGAGTTGATTGTGAAGTGAGGCCTGAGAGTGATGGGTGTTTCTGCAGGATGGTAAATGCAGTCTTCACTGAGTTGATTGTGAAGTGAGGCCTGAGAGTGATGGGTGTTTCTGCAGGATGGTAAATGCAGTCTTCACTGAGTTGATTGTGAAGTGAGGCCTGAGAGTGATGGGTGTTTCTGCAGGATGGTAAATGCAGTCTTCACTGAGTTGATTGTGAAGTGAGGCCTGAGAGTGATGGGTGTTTCTGCAGGATGGTAAGTGCAGTCTTCACTGAGTTGATTGTGAAGTGAGGCCTGAGAGTGATGGGTGTTTCTGCAGGATGGTAAATGCAGTCTTCACTGAGTTGATTGTGAAGTGAGGCCTGAGAGTGATGGGTGTTTCTGCAGGATGGTAAATGCAGTCTTCACTGAGTTGATTGTGAAGTGAGGCCTGAGAGTGATGGGTGTTTCTGCAGGATGGTAAATGCAGTCTTCACTGAGTTGATTGTGAAGTGAGGCCTGAGAGTGATGGGTGTTTCTGCAGGATGGTAAATGCAGTCTTCACTGAGTTGATTGTGAAGTGAGGCCTGAGAGTGATGGGTGTTTCTGCAGGATGGTAAATGCAGTCTTCACTGAGTTGATTGTGAAGTGAGGCCTGAGAGTGATGGGTGTTTCTGCAGGATGGTAAATGCAGTCTTCACTGAGTTGATTGTGAAGTGAGGCCTGAGAGTGATGGGTGTTTCTGCAGGATGGTAAATGCAGTCTTCACTGAGTTGATTGTGTATATATATGATAAGACTAATAAAATGAACTAGGTAGAGAGTACCACCAAAAGTTACTAAGTGGAGCGCTAGATATGAATACACTTACCCCTCAGAAATTGGGGGAGGTATATAATGACAAAAGAGATATATTCTGAAAAATATAAAGTGAAATGCAAACTAGTGCAATATATAGAGTCCCCCAGAGTGATATATATATGGAGGTATGGACCACACTCACATGGTGTAGAGCCCTATCAGGATAGGCTCAAATCTCATAGGCAGAGGTATATTAGGTAATACCAAACCCTTCCCCGGATTCTTGGCTCAATGATCCTCAATATGGAGTCAAAAGGGAACAAAATATCCTTGTGCAGATTGTAAAGTGCAATATATAGCCCAAGTGCAAGTGACTACTCACCTTTTGGGAAGTCAGTTATACTAGGCTCCCGGAATTATGGTGTGTTTGTCTTTAATGGGAACACATCCCTTCTTGTGCAGCAGGAGTAGAAGGTGGTAAGGATCCACAGGACTTGATTAGATTAGTAAAATAAAATAAAAATTTAAGTGTAAATAATACCGATAAACAGTATATAGAGTCTTGGGTGGTCCTCCTTTCACCAAGACGCGTTTCGCCAAACGGCTTTCTCAATTGGCATGTCTGTTTTCCTGCTGCATCTGTGTTTAAATCCGTTGAATGTTCTTCTGATTTGTCACCGCATGTGAGTTGTGACGGTTACAAACTGTATCACTGTCTATCATTCCCTTCTTCCCATAAAAGAAAATCACCAAACAATCCACAGGAATAAATATCGCTGGTATCGCCAAATAATCTACACATGAGCCAAAGCTTAATGCTGGAACAAGACTGATTTACTGGAAGCAACAGCCATTCAATTTATACAATAGCAGACTCCTCCTCTGGGCCAGGCTAGGTAATTGAGTTTCAGCAACACACTAAACTCAATTATCTGCTGTCCAGAAATATTAAAAATTTTAACATTTTTAGAAAAGTACTTTTCTCCATAACATACAAATATAATAATTACATCCCTGGGTAGCTGAGGATACTGGGACTCACATATCCAAATCTCACGAAAATCCATTCGGTATCCGTTCGGTAGTTTCCGTGTCACATCGTATGAAAGTTTGACCGGCTCGCCATGTGGTGGTATCCGATTTAGAGTTCCATGAAATCAGTAGCAAGAGCCGGTCTCCGTTCGCGCCTAACTACACGAAAACTACCAAACGAATGATGCAGCTTGTTATATGAAAACGCTCCCCTCGTTCGGTAGGTTCAAACTCCCGAATGCCGGTTTGATTCGTTGGATAGAAAGTAGTCAGCCGGGACTTCCATGATGACCGAACGTTCGCGTTGTTGCCATGCCGAAAATAGCTCCAGGCAATTCATGTGTAAGGCCCGCTGACCGCGTTAAGATGGTCGCCATCCTTTGTTCTCGCCATGTGTTCGTATGCCGAATGGCGGCCACCTAAGAACCCTCAATTAAGTTGTGGTTTTCTCAACGTTCCAAATTCTGATTGCTACCCAGGGTGGTCTCTGTTCGGTAGACGAATACAGTTTCTCAAACACATAGTAAAAACGAACCGGTTAAAAGTATTTAAACAGCAGGGAGAGGATATAAGCGAAGGCACACAGGTAAGTATATGGAAATCCTCTACACCGCATACCTTCGGTGGCCAATCATTGCGCTGCTGTTTTGGGTGTGTGTATTACCAGCTGTAGCCTCTGATAGCCCAAAACCGGAAATGATGTTGTGGACTAGACGCAATGTCAAATAAGGTCTGCCCACCTGATGACTGTATCCTGGATGTGTCTGTAATGTGTAATTTCTTTAGGGGCTGTGCGGACATCATAAGTGTGGGCAATTGCTTTGGATAGTAAATTGAGGAACATACACTAACTGATGGCAAACTGACATGTTACATTGGAGATGTGTTTTATCCGGCCATATAGAAACTCATAAGTATGCAGTCCGTTATTAGTATTAGTATAGTAGGAAAAGAGAAAAACAAGGGAAAAAATGGAAAAAAAAGTGGAAGAATCAATAATTACAAAAAGGCAGTATTATATAATTATTCACCTATTAATCCCTTTATGGAGTAGAACAGAATTTTAATATATTAAATATATAATTAAATCAATCTATATGTACACACATGAAAAATTATTGTTTATATTGAGAAAAAGACAGCAAATATCTATTTGATCACCACATAATAACACATATATTAGTAAAATAAAAAATATAATTTTCATTTGAATGTTGGAGAAAAAAATACAAAAAATTGATATATAGTAATTATGGAAGGTAATTAAAAGGCTAAAACAGTTCCTCAATAAAATATATTGAAAAATGGTACTGAAATAAAAATGGTTCTGAAATTAAAAAAGGTGATTGGGAAGTGTGAACATTCTATACTAACATTCTAAATGAGGTATTGTGGTGGTCCCTGATCGGGAGCTCCCACCAAGGGGTTTAATTCACCTCCCGAACAGTGCCCACCACAATACCTCATTTAGAATTTTAGTATAGAATGTTCACACCTCGCAACATAAGTGTCAAAACCGCAAAGGAAACAATTAATGAGTGCTTCCCTGGGTGGCCGCCATTTGTACAGACAAACGCCACCAGGGGGAGCATTTTTGGATTGTTTGCTGACTCGTTTGTATCCCGAACGAGTGCCTCCCCGATGCCCTATTAGAACGTTCACACCAATATTTTCAGAATGCTTAATTCACCTCCCAAACAGTGACCACCACAATACCTCATTTAGAATTTTAGTATAGAATGTTCACAACTCGCAACATAGGTGTGAAACCACAAAGGAAGTAATTAATGAGTGCTCCCCAGGGTGGCCGCCATTCGTACAGACGAATGCCATCCAGGGGGAGCATTAGTACCCCGAAAGGAGACTCTTCCTTTGTCTGGGTTTCACACCAGGACCTCGCAAACGGAGACTAGTCGATCGAGGGATCGAGGCGAGGATCCCTGAGATTGGTGTGGGAACTTCTGGGGCACTGGCAAGTTTTGGCTCTCATGAGCCGGAGGGACAAAGAGACCAGCTCTTTTTCCGTGGGCGGGCTTTTCTGTGCCAGGCAAAGAGGCTCTTGGGAAGAAGACCCCTGGCAGAAAACCCCTGGCAGTTGGTGTGGGGAACCCCGGGGATTTAGTGGTCGGCTTTGGGGACAAAGGGAACGGAGTCCCTTCCCGCACTGGGACCTCGGGGAGGGGGAGGATTGTGGGATTGTGGGATGTGTGTTTGTGTGTGTGTGGGATAAAATTGTATTGTATCTCCAGGACTCTGTGTTGTATGGTTACTGGGGGGAAATGGGTCCCTTTACACACTGAGTGGTTCCTGAGTGTCTGAAGTCAAGGAATTAGCGGAGGTAACTGGTTGGGTTACCCGAGTTCCGCTACATTCACCTTGTTATGTGGGTAGTGACTGTAATTATCCATATTGTGTGGGTAGTGACTGTGATTATCCATATTGTGTGGGTAGTGACTGTGATTATTATGTAGGTAGTGATTGTGATAATCTTGTTTTGTGGGTAGTGACTGTGATTATCCATATTGTGTGGGTAGTGACTAATTAACCATAAAGTGTGGGTATTGACTGTGATTATCCATATTATGTGGTTAGTGACTGTGATTATCCATATTATGTAGTTAATGATTGATTATCCTTTTTATGTGGGTAGTGACTGTGATTATCGTTGTCATGTGGGTAGTGACTGTGATTAACCATATTATGAAGGTAGTGACTGTGATTACCCATATTATGAAGGTAGTGACTGTGATTATCCTTGTTATGCGGGTAGGTACTGTGATTACTCATACTATGTAGGTATTGACTGTGATTATCCTTATGTGGGTAGTGAATGTGATTATCCTTGTCATGTGGGTAGTGACTGTGATTATCCTTATGTGGGTTGTGACTGTGATTATCCTTCTTATGTGGGTAGTGACTGTGATTATCCTTGTTATGCGGGTAGTGACTGTGATTACTCATACTATGTAGGTATTGACTGTGATTATCCTTATGTGGGTAGTGAATGTGATTATCCTTGTCATGTGGGTAGTGACTGTGATTATCCTTATGTGGGTTGTGACTGTGATTATCCTTCTTATGTGGGTAGTGACTGTGATTATCCTTGTTATGCGGGTAGTGACTGTGATTACTCATACTATGTAGGTATTGACTGTGATTATCCTTATGTGGGTAGTGAATGTGATTATCCTTGTCATGTGGGTAGTGACTGTGATTATCCTTATGTGGGTTGTGACTGTGATTATCCTTCTTATGTGGGTAGTGACTGTGATTATCCTTGTTATGCGGGTTGTGACTGTGATTAACCATATTATGTGGGAAGTGACTGTGATTACCCATATTATGTAGGTAGTGACTGTGATTACTCATATTATGTAGGTGACTGTGATTATCCTTATGTGGGTAGTGACTGTAATTATTCATATTATGTGGGTAGTGACTGTGATTATCCTTGTTATGTGGGTAATGACTGTGATTATTCATATTATGTGGTTAGTGACTGTGATTATCCATATTATGTAGATAGTGAATGTGATTAACCTTGTTATGTGGGTAGTGACTGTGATTATCCATGTTGTGTCGGTCGTGACTGTAATTATCCATGTAAGGGGGTAGTGACTGTGATTATCCATATTATGTAGATAGTGACTGATTAACCTTGTTATGTGGGTAGTGACTGTGATTATCCATATTATGTGGGTAGTGGCTGTGATTATCCATGTTATGTGGGTAGTTGCTGTGATTAACCATATTATGTGGGTAGTGGCTGTGATTATCCATGTTATGTGGGTAGTGACTGTGATTATCCATGTTATGTGGGTAGTTGCTGTGATTAACCATATTATGTGGGTAGTGGCTGTGATTATCCATGTTATGTGGGTAGTGGCTGTGATTATCCATGTTATGTGGGTAGTGGCTGTGATTATCCATATTATGTGGGTAGTGGCTGTGATTATCCATGTTATGTGGGTAGTGACTGTGATTATCCATGTTATGTGGGTAGTTGCTGTGATTATCCATATTATGTGGGTAGTGGCTGTGATTATCCATGTTATGTGGGTAGTGACTGTGATTATCCATGTTATGTGGGTAGTGGCTGTGATTATCCATGTTATGTGGGTAGTGGCTGTGATTATCCATATTATGTGGGTAGTGGCTGTGATTATCCATATTATGTGGGTAGTGGCTGTGATTATCCATGTTATGTGGGCAGTGGCTGTGATTATCCATGTTATGTGGGCAGTGGCTGTGATTATCCATGTTATGTGGGCAGTGGCTGTGATTATCCATGTTATGTGGGTAGTGGCTGTGATTAACCATGTTATGTGGGTAGTGGCTGTGATTATCCATGTTATGTGGGTAGTGGCTGTGATTATCCATGTTATGTGGGTAGTGGCTGTGATTATCCATGTTCTGTGGGTAGTGGCTGTGATTAACCATATTATGTGGGTAGTGGCTGTGATTATCCATGTTATGTGGGTAGTGGCTGTTATTATCCATGTTATGTGGGTAGTGGCTGTGATTATCCATATTATGTGGGTAGTGGCTGTGATTAACCATATTATGTGGGTAGTGGCTGTGATTATCCATGTTATGTGGGTAGTGGCTGTTATTATCCATGTTATGTGGGTAGTGGCTGTGATTAACCATATTATGTGGGTAGTGGCTGTGATTAACCATATTATGTGGGTAGTGGCTGTGATTATCCATGTTATGTGGGTAGTGGCTGTGATTATCCATGTTATGTGGGTAGTGGCTGTGATTAACCATATTATGTGGGTAGTGGCTGTGTTATCCATGTTATGTGGGTAGTGGCTGTGATTATCCATATTATGTGGGTAGTGGCTGTGATTAACCATATTATGTGGGTAGTGGCTGTGATTATCCATGTTATGTGGGTAGTGGCTGTTATTATCCATGTTATGTGGGTAGTGGCTGTGATTAACCATATTATGTGGGTAGTGGCTGTGATTAACCATATTATGTGGGTAGTGGCTGTGATTATCCATGTTATGTGGGTAGTGGCTGTGATTATCCAGGTTATGTGGGTAGTGGCTGTGATTAACTATCCCTGTGGGATGGACAATGTCAGCATAACACTGAGCCATGTGCTGCAGCTGCGGTGACGTCACCCATAACAGCAGAGCTCTACACACAGAAGACATAACTCCCCCTTTAACATAGTGTCCCTTCCATAACGTCATTACGCCAGTATACAGAATCACTCAGTTACTGACTATTTTACACTCGAGTGTTCGAGACTCTGTTGTAACCATGGACACGCGAGTGATGCCGAGGCTTGGAACGCATGTGATATCCGGTTTGTAACTTCCGGTGGTGCTTGTTTGGACACAAAGCGGGAGGAGCTGCAGGTGTGTGTCTTGCTTTCTATAGAGAGAGATATCGCGATATATTTCCCCCACTAATACCCGATGCCGATAGAAGCCGGTATATGGGATGTTACCCCTCCAATAGCCGGTATATGGGATGTTACCCCTCCGATAGCCGGTATATGGGATGTTATCCCTCCGATAGCCGGTATATGGGATGTTATCCCTCCGATAGCCGGTATATGGGATGTTATCCCTCCGATAGCCGGTATATGGGATGTTACCCCACCAATAGCCGGTATATGGGATGTTACCCCACCAATAGCCGGTATATGGGATGTTACCCCACCAATAGCCGGTATATGGGATGTTACCCCTCCAATAGCCGGTATATGGGATGTTACCCCTCCAATAGCCGGTATATGGGATGTT